TTTGTTTTTGTGTGTGTGTGTGTGTGTGTGTGTGGACGTGACTCACGGCGCAGCTGCCCCCGTTGCGGCAGGGGTTCCCGGCGCATTCGTTGACTTGGATCTCGCAGCTGGCGCCAGTGAAGCCGGGCCTGCAGGAACAGGTGTAGCTGCCCTGGCCCGTGTTGCTACAAGTGGCCCCATTCATGCAGGGCTTGTGGTGCGTGCAGTAGTTGAGGTCTGAGGCAGACGGCAGGACACATGACACGCACACGTGTGGATTAGCTTCGTCGCTCCCGCTGGACTGCGGTTTTCAATTTGTGCCAACAACTGGCGCCCGCGGCCCCTCCTATCGCGGCCCGACCCCTCCCCCTCAAAGAGCACAGCTGTATTATGAGCAACCAAGCATCGAGGTTACATTTCAGGGGGCAGCAGATTTTTGTTTTCACGGCTTTCTTGCAGCTTTTCAATTGCCCTGACAGATTCGCGACGCGCTCTCGTGGGGTTGCCGTCCTGCCACAAAGACGTCGGGCCAGCTTAGCATGAGTACGACTTCAGCGATGGTGCTCGCGTCTTGACGTGATCGTCCCTTGTCTCGGTTTGATTCGACACTTTTTTCACACTTTCACAGTTAATTCGGACCAAATGCTGCAGTACCGACAGGAAACTTTGTGGGGCGGTATTGAGATTCAAACATACTCAATTTGTATGTTTGTTTTTTTTTTTCTTCAAAGGTAGCAGGAGCCAAAAAACGAACTTCAGACCATATATTTGCATCGGTACGGTTTCTTTCTTTTTTTTTTTTTTGACTTGAGTACTTTCTAGTTCTGGATGTTGTATTACCACTTTAAAAATGTGGGGGCAGTATGAAGAGACAAAGCAAATCACCAGTTACAACAGCTCATCGATTTCGCTCTTAGTTAACGAGACACAAGAGCAGGGGTGTCCTATTTACAAAAAAAAAAAAAAAATCAAACAAATCATTTTGTTTTGGATTTTCACAGTTAGCCTCCTTGAGATTCGGTTTCATTTGCTGCCTTTTTTTTTTTTTTCCGACTTTCAAAAATGGCCTTTTATACCGACAAATTCGGACCTAATGCTGCAATTCCCTCAGCCTGACTTCGGTTTTTGTCAGCAAACCGAGCGTTCCCCGGGCGTGTTGCCCACCTTGATTGCAGAAGAGGCCCCCCCAGCCCTCCTGACAGTTGCACTGCCAGGGCTGCTGGCAGGTCCCGTGGAGGCAGCCCGGGTAGCGGATGCACTCGTCGCAGTAGCGACCCTTGAAGCCCACCCGGCACCTGCGGACCAATCGGAGGATGGCGGTAAGGACGTGTGTGATGCAAACGTCTTAGCCCGGCCCCCCCGCCGAGGCAGAACCTACTTGCAGTCGCCGGGCTTCTCGCAGAAGCCGTGCTCGTCGTCGCAGCCCGGCAGGCATATTGCTAGTGGGGGAAAAAAAAAACATGATTATTATTATTGAAATGAACTGGACTTTTTTTTTTTAATGACAGGGAGGCACGTGGGGGGCAAAAACCCCACGTGCAGATTTGTTTGAGGGGAGGGGGTGGGGGTGGGGGGTAATGTGAGCGTGAGTTTATGTGTATTTTTTTTTTTTCATGAGTGTCTGTGAGCGCGCACGCAATTTGTTTTCGTGCGAGTGTGTTTGTCGTGCGTTTTTGTTAGCATGCAAGTCTGTTTGTGTGCATTCGTTTTTCTTTGTGTGTGTGTGTGAGAGAGCACGTGCTCTCAGACATAGACATCCCCCCCCCCACCCCCCC